TGCGTGCGAGTTAGGAGAGTGAGTCTGCGCAGATGTCCCGTGCTGGGTGCGTTTCGGAGAGAACCGATCGATTAGTGCCACCGCTCAGGAGGTGAGGAAGAACCGAAGACGGGGCGGGGAAGGAGAATAGAAAAGAAACAGGGTGGAGATTTTTGACGTTCTCCCTTCTATTCCTCACTTTAATACATTGGAATCAAATTAGTCCAGTCAATATTAACTTGGCATCCAGTTGAACTTATAAGATACGTAATGTACACAGAATTATGTGTAATCAGATTTACTTTCTGTAGAAAAACCAGTTCTGGGTTTGCAAAGATTTTACTTTATGTTTACAATTTAGTTTATTAAAGAATTATAAAATATTTAATTTTCGTTTTAATTGCACAAAATAGTATATAACACACATAGAAATATGTGTAGTGTATGCAAACAAATTCACTTCTTGCTTAAAAAAGAATCTCTGAGGTCTACGGATTAAATATGTTTTGTAATACCCAATAGCTTGAATTTATTTTTACGGTGATTCCCCATCCATGTGAAACAAAAGAGCAATAGAATAAGTACAATTAGAAGTGAAAAGTAATATAGTTTTCACCACCTTGTCACCTTTTCAGACGCGTTTACGGTACGAAATGTGTTCCGAAGACGTAGACACCAAGTTGTGACCGTTACTGAGTAATAAAAGTAATTTTATAAATAAATTTGTTCAAATTTGTTTGTTTAACAAATTTAATTGTGAAATCTAATGAAATTTGCTTGTTTTCTAGTTTTCTCGAAAATCAATTAATAAATACGTCGCATTCCATGTGTGGCGTTATCGAGGGAACATTCTGAAAGCAAGACACTATCTTAGCATTGGAATTTTGATTCTGCTGTTGACGCTGACTATTGAGCAAATCTTTGCATTCCATGACTTACAAACTGAATCATATTTTACTTGATTCCGCAAGAGTAATTTTCAAAACCCGGCGAAATTTTCGTATCTGTTGAATGTGTTAGCCGTTTTTTTTTACTCTTCGCTTTCGTGTGCTGCAATGAGGAGTTGAAAGACGACTTTTCACTCGCGCAGTTCGTTAACTTACTTCTCACTCCAATTCCTCGTTATTTCTGCTTCCCGGATGGGGAAGCAGCAGCAGAGAAAACCATTACGTAATTTTCACTAAGTGCTCTTATGAAAATATCGTTCGCAGAGATTTCTCAGAAGAGTGAGCTTCCGCAGCTCTTGAGATGGATATGCCATAAAAGAAAATTATCAAAAACGAAACCTTTGAAAACAGCACTGACGCAAATCCAACGAATTATAATTCAATCTGAATTGGGTATTTATTAAAGCAACGTTCATATTTCATTTTTGATCCAGATGGCCAAATTACTTGTTTCTTCCTTCATTTTCATTAAAAAATATTTGAACCAACCTTGTTGAACACCAAATTCGACTCACTAAGGCCATCTACATCGCAAGTCATAAGACCGCAATATCGAAAACGCTCTCATGTGTGTTGCCTTTCATTCTATTAGAGAGCAACGAAATATACTATATTATGCTCTGAACGGATATCTCACTTTGCGCTACGTTTTGAGCGTGAGTATTAAGAGTGCGCTTATGCGTTTGTTGGTGACTTCAGAACACATTCAAAAGTGTGTCTCAATACTTCGCGTGTTCCATCTGTGTGAACCTAGCGTAGGCTGCCTGGCATGTCCTCTCATTTCCGAAGCAGAAGAGAAGTTAATTCAATTTTTACACAGAGAGTTCTTTTAGAGATGCATAAATGTAGTTGAAACAGAGAGCGTTTAATGGAAAATACTCATTTCTGTAGATGGGAATTAAAGATGGAGGTCAATAACGAATGATTTCCGCAACGCATTGTTGATTTTTATAATGGAAGAAGCATTAGAAACATATTGCGCCAAAATTGCTCTTCCTTTTTTATTTCACTCTCGATATTAACCCACCAAATGAAAGGAACGAGAAAACAAAATATTTGAATCGCAAAATAAAACCGACGTATATTCATTACATGAGGGGATTCTCGACTTATAAACATCTCTATGTCATAAAAGCTACCACTTCGTGAGGAAGACACAGACACTTTGTTGCCAACAAAAACACAATTTATGACGAATAAAGACCCTGCGTCGAAAAGCAGCACAGGTCTTCGCAACGTTAATAGTCTCGGGCCTACCGCAACAATGTGACGACTCTCGCGCGGGCCGGGCGCGCTCGGCTGCGGCCACCGCAGCGCTCCGCCGATGGCGCTAATTCACGGCCC